AGGGACACCCATTCACCAGTGGATGAACTGGTTTATCACTCCCGTGAGTGGCTTGGGTCAGTCTGACTCCCGCAACAACTCCCAGTCCCAGAGAAGGAGCCCCAGTACCCCTGACCCTCACTGTCTGTGCCCAGGTAGTGGCCCTAACCCAGAGACAGGAGCCCATGGGATCTCAGCTCACCAAACTCGGCTTTGACTCTTGTCATGGAAGAAAATGGAGAGGTCCAGGACAGGCTGAGACCAGATTATGTGGCGTGCGCGCGCACACACACACCACACACACACACCACACACACACACACACACACACACACACACCACACACACACACACACCACACACACACACACACCACACACACACACACACACACACACACACACACACACACACACACACACACACACACACACACACACACTGAGCTGAAGTGTCTGGGTGCTGCTTCTCTGGTTCGGTCATGCTCTGGTCCACCGGTAGTGGAACACCTTAGAGCCCACCAGGTCGGTGGAGCGGGGGAGACGGCATCAGGGGACCCTGTCAGGTCTGAAGGTCGCCCCCACAGGTCACCCGGGCGCACACGCAGGGCGCCCCGGGCCCCATGGCAACGCAGCCCAGGGACATCAAACAGGGAGGCCGCACGTCACTGCGGTTGGGGAGGCTCCTCCCCACTGGCTGGCGGCTGGCTCCTCGGGCCGTCAGGCAGCCCGCCTCCTGTCGCCGTGGCGACCGGCTGTGTTGTAGACTGTCCCGGGCCCACCAGATCCCTGCCCCCTCGCTGGGGCACCGCCGCTCCCCGCATCCGGCGAGGGCGCCCAGCTCTGTCGTTCCGCCGCGGGTGTGGGGCCTAGTGCCGGGCAGAGTGGCCTGCCTTCTGCGGCGGGCTCAGAGGAGCCCCTGGAGATGAAGAGCCTCCCCAGGGTCTCTGGAGGGGTGGTCGGCCACGGGGTGGGTAGGTGCCAGGATGCTATTTGGGTAGATGACACCGGAGTGGCCCACAGGATAGGTAGCCACCAGGGCGCTGTTGGGGTGGGTGACACCGGAGTGGCCCCGGTGTGGATAGTTAGTTACCAGGACAATATTGGGGTGGGTGACACCGGAGTGGCCCCGGGGTGGGTAGTCAGTTACCAGGACAATATTGGGGTGGGTGACACCGGAGCGGCCCCGGGGTGGGTAGTCAGTTACCAGGACAATATTGGGGTGGGTGACACCGGAGCGGCCCCGGGGTGGGTAGTCAGTTACCAGGGCGCTGTTGGGGTGGGTGACACCGGAGTGGCCCCGGGGTGGGTAGTCAGTTACCAGGACAATATTGGGGTGGGTGACACCGGAGCGGCCCCGGGGTGGGTAGTCAGTTACCAGGACAATATTGGGGTGGGTGACACCGGAGCGGCCCCGGGGTGGGTAGTCAGTTACCAGGGCGCTGTTGGGGTGGGTGACACCGGAGCGGCCCCGGGGTGGGTAGTCAGTTACCAGGGCGCTGTTGGGGTGGGTGACACCGGAGTGGCCCCGGGGTGGGTAGTCAGTTACCAGGGCGCTGTTGGGGTGGGTGACACCGGAGCGGCCCCGGGGTGGGTAGTCAGTTACCAGGACAATATTGGGGTGGGTGACACCGGAGTGGCCCCGGTGTGGATAGTTAGTTACCAGGGCGCTGTTGGGGTGGGTGACACCGGAGCGGCCCCGGGGTGGATAGTTAGTTACCAGGGCGCTGTTGGGGTGGGTGACACCGGAGTGGCCTACCCCGGCACCAGTGACTGACATGAGCCCTGGCCAGGGGAAGGAGGGGGAGGCCACACAATGTGTCAAGTTTGGTTCGGCCGCGGCCAGGCGCTGGAGCGCGCAGGGTTAAAGACAACCCTTCTCGGGGTCTCCCCTCCTCAACACCCCCTCCCGTCCGGGGGATTTCGGGCCCCAGCCCCTCTGACGTCAGTGCGGTTGCTATGGCAACCGCCCGACTTTCCCAAATAAAATTACTGCGGGCGAGCAAAGTTTCCTGGAGTCGGCGGCGGAGTAAACAATGGCAGGGGCGGGGCTCGGCACGGGGGTCCCGAGGCCGGAGCGGGGGATCCCTGTCCCGGGGCTCTGGGAGATGGGTCCGGACAAGGGGACCGAGCGCGGACGCCCCCGCCGCTCCCACGCGTGTGCACTTCCTGTCGCCGGCTGCGGGAGGAGGTAAAACAAGCCGGCAGGCAGCAACCGGAGCCGGGACAGGGAGGACCAGGCCCCCCGAACCCGCCAAACCCATCAGCCAGGGACTTAAGAACTAGTGCAAGTCTCCCACCCCTACCCCGGGGCCTCACCTAACCTCTAAAACAGGAACAGATTCGCATCTGTTGGCTTCTGCCAGGTGCAGGGAGGGACCCCAGGTTGGGGCCAAAGCCAATTAAATGACTGTAGCTCCAGGTGTGCTTGATATCCCCCTCCAAGTGGGGTTTCCAGATCACAAAGCACGCAATTCTATTTGATTTCCAAATACACGGAGGAGTTTTTGTTTCCCTGGGCAGGGAGGGCCTGTTTTGATAGACAGGGTCTCCTACTGTAGCCCAGGCTGGCTTGGAACTCAGGCTGTAGTTTGGGTTCTGCTAGAACTCCTGGCAATCTTCCTCCCTCAGCCTTCCAAGTGGTGGGATTACAGACCCAAGCCATAGTCTTGTGTTAGGTCTGCTTCCTATCTGAGTGTGCAAGAGTGAGTCCAGTGTAGTGTTGCACGCCTCTAATCCCAGCTTGGGAGGCCAGCCTGATCCACAGTGAGTTCCAGGACAGCCAGAGCTACATCTTGAGACCATTCAAAGCAACAACAACAACAAAAATATGTAACTGTGTCCTGTGCAATATTTAGTAGGCAGATATACTAAACAAAGACAAAAAGTTAAACTAAAAATGACTTAGTCTGTATTGTAAATTCAAATGTAATTGCAAGGGCTTTTTATTTTAATTAATGTATTTTTTGAGACAGGGTCTCACTGTGTAAACCTAATTGGCCTGGAACTCACTCTATAGACCAAGCTGAACTATAGAGATCCACCTGCCTTTACCTCCTGAGTGCTGTCATTAAAGGTGTGTGCCACCACACCCAGTGTGAATTTTTTTTTCTAGACTGGGTTACCCTGTCAATCCAGGCAATCCCTGGCTGTTCTGGAACTTGATCGGTAGACCAGGCTGGCCTGGAACTCAGAGAATTGCTGCCTCTGCCTGGGATTAAAGGCATGTGCAACCACTGCCTGGCCCAGCATGAATTTTTTTTTTTCTTGTTTTTTCGGGATGGGGTTTCTTGTGTAGACTTACTGTCCTGGAACTGGATTTGTGGACCAGGCTGACCTTGAACTCACAGAGATCCACCAGCCTCTACCTCACGAGTACTGGGATCAAAGGTGTGCACCACCACCACTGGGCTCCCAGGATGAATTTTTTTTTTAAACTATATTTTATTTATGTGTGTATGTGTTTGTGTCTCTGTGTGCAGGGGACAGTACAGGCCAGAAGAGGGCCTTCCATTCCGTGCAACTGCAGTTGACAGGTGATCTGGTCATCTCAGGTGGGTGCTAGGCTTTCTGGCCTAAGTGCAGCTCCCTGCTCCCCACCTGATCCCCTCTAGCCTCCATTCTCAAAAGAAACAGTGGAATCCAGTCCTGGTTCCCTCTCCACCCCATTCTCCCACCTGCTCCTCAGCTCCATCTTCTTTCACACCTCTGCCCTGGGATCTATAAGGATTTTATCTTTGATGCTGGATTTTTAGTGTTGAATGCTTGTTTTGAGACAGGGTGTCCCAGGCTGGCCTCACACTCCCTAGGTAGCCAGAGATAACCTTGAACTTCCGACCTCCTGCCTCTATCCATGGAATGCATCCACAGGTACAGCCCAAGCCCACCACCACCGTTTACACAGTGCTAGTTCAGACACAGGGCTCTGTGCCTGCCGAGAAAGCCCTCCACCACGGAGCCACATCCCCAGCCCAATTTGCTTATTTTTGAGAAAGTCTCAGTATATAGCCCCAATCTGCAATCCTCCTGTTTCAGCTTTATAAATTCTGGGATTATAGTTGTATAGTTGTATACCACCATCTCTGCTAATGAAACATTACTTTTTATTTGAAGTGGAAGTTGAGACAAGACTTTGCTGTGTAGTCTAGGCGTGGTGGAACTCACTACACTGTTAAGGCTAGCTTCAAATCTGAAGCAGTCTGTTGCAGAATATTTGTGTACACTGTAAAGATGTGTATCTGCCTAAGGTGCCTTCTGATTGGTTTAATAAAGAGCTAAATGGCCAGTAGCTAGACAGGAGAGAATAGGCGGGACTTCTGGCCAGGGGGGAGAGGGAGGGAGGAGGAATCGAGGCATGGGATTTTGCCATCAGACTCAGAACAAGTCGAATATAGCCGGGCGGTGGTGGCGCACGCCTTTAATCCCAGCACTCGGGAGGCAGAGGCAGGTGGATCTCTGTGAGTTCGAGGCCAGCCTGGACTACAGAGCAAGATCCAGGAAAAGGCGCAAAGCTACACAGAGAAACCCTGTCTCAAAAAACCAAAAAAAAAAAAAAAAAAAAAAGAACAAGTCGAATGTGTTGTACTAAGAAGAAGCACCTGAGCCACGTGGTAGAACATAGATTAAAACAAATATGGGTTAAGTTATAAGAGCTAGTTGGGAAAAAAGCCCAAGCTAAGGCCAAGCTTTCATAATTAATAATAAGTCTCCAGGTCATTATTTGCGGACTAGCGGTCCAAAGACATTTCAACAAGAAAGCTTGCTACAGCCATCCTCCTACTCTACCTCCCAGATTGACAGGATCACAGGCATGCACCATTATGTTGTAGCTGAATATTTTTTCACTTTTTAAAAAGATTTTTTTTTTTTTTTTTTTGGTTTTTCGAGACAGGGTTTCTCTGTGTAGCTTTGCGCCTTTCCTGGATCTCGCGCTGTAGACCAGGCTGGCCTCGAACTCACAGAGATCCGCCTGGCTCTGCCTCCCGAGTGCTGGGATTAAAGGCGTGCGCCACCACCGCCCGGCTTTAAAAAGATTTTATTTTAAATTGTGAGTATATGGAATGCTGGAGAGATGGCTCAGGGGTTAAGAGAACACTGTAACTCCAATTCCTGGGGATCCTACACCCTCTTCTGACTTCCACAGAGGTGGCACATACATAAAAACACTCGTACACATGAAATAAATCGAAAATTTACAAATTAAAATTATGATTATGTGGGCAGTGGGGTGTGTACACATGAATGCAGGTGCTCTCGGAGGCCAGAGGGGGCATCGGGTCCCTTGAAGTGGAGTTACAAGCAGTTTTGAGCTGCCAGTTATGAGTGCCAGGAACTTACCTCAGGTCCTCTGTAAGAGCAACAAATGCTCTTAACTACTGAGCCAGCTCTCCAACCCCTAAACACCTCCTAAGTGGGACAAAAATCACCTCAGGCAAGCTGGTCATATCCCTACTGAAGGCCAGGTGAGCAATGACTATTATGGGATGCTGGGAGCCTAGAGTGATTGACACTGGCCCTTAGGGACCCCTTTCTGGGTCTCCTCAGGGAAGGTGGCCCAGGAGGCACAGTGTTGAACTGTCTGTGTCCAGAGCTCAAAAGCAGCACCCAGCTCCAGTGTGGACTTGGCATTCATGCCCACACATTCTACAAGATTCCAGACATAACCACTCAAATCATCCACCTGGGATTCTGTCCTGTATCCTCAAGTGATGGCAATGCTTTGCGACTGTTTCTCAGACTAGCAATGCCCAGGTACTTCACAGGCCTGCGGCAAGCAATACATTAGCTCGCTGAATGAGCCAGACACAGTGGCTCAGGCCTGTGAAGCCAGCACCCCGTGGAGGCCAGAAGGTCAGGAGTTGGAAGTCATCCTTGGTTATACAGTGAGTTCCAGGTCCATCCGTACTACAAGAAACCCTGTCTAACCAAGCAACTGTCCCCACTTCCCCCAAGAAAACCTAATTTGTTGATGACTGATGTACAACATCTGCCTAGAACTGGGGGCGGTTAGCAAAAAAGGATATGCTCCTGTGGCAGGCTTTGGATCGCCATCCCTACCCAAGCAGGCTGCTTCTAGGAGAGCAACTTTGTCCAGTTCCCACAGGCCTTTCTACAGAGAACCAGGGATGAGTCTGGTTTGAGAATTCGATTGTTCTTGAACCCCGAACCCGACCACCAACGTCTCTCTTAACCTCCTAACCTGAACACTTCAGGACTACAGGCCTGATCTGAACCCTGACATGGGGAAGGCCACCAGGGGAGCGCCCCGGCCTGGCTCCTGGCCTGGCTGGAGGCTCGAACCCAGACCAAAGGAGGCTGGCGGCGGCCGTTGCCTGGTAACGCGCTGTTTGTTGGCGCGGGGGCGGGGCGGGCGGTGACTCACCGCGGCGTGACGCGGACGGGCGGGCGCCGGGCGGGCTGGCAGCCAGCCCGGGGCTGGCGGCGACGGGAGGGCTGCGGCGGGGGGGGGGGGGGGGGGGGGGGGGGGGGGGGCGCAGCAGGGCAGGCCTGGGCTTCGGGCTGCTGCCTCAGTTTACATTTTACATGAGTAAACTGGGGCCTCGTTGCAGGAGTAACTGATGCTGGTGCCTCCCCAGACCACTTGGGAGTCTCCCGCCTGCTCAGAGCCCTGTAGCCTCAGTTTCCCCACCTACGAAAGGAGGCCAGAAGAGGCCACCTCCAGACCGGTTTGAGAGTTCCATCTACCAAAGGCTAGCACACCCCAGTAGCCCAGCCCGCTGCCCCAAGGAGGAGCAGGGTGTAAGTGTCCTCCGTGGTTGTACCCAGCAACACAGGGCAGTCAGAGCAACGTGGGTACTCCCGGAAGTGGGTGTGGGGCATAGGCCAAAGGAGTTGCCATGGAAGTGACTGGAGAGGACACTTGTGGAAGCCGGAGCGGGCAGCACCTGCTGCGGGTGGCGTCCGGAGGGGGCCTGGGCATGAGTCACTGCCCAGCAATGAGGCTGAGTCACAGGGCGGGGTCCCGGCGCCTCCCCCACCAGCCGCTCCCACAAAGGACCTTTTGAGAAGAGCTCCGCACCCCCGCCCAGCCCCCAGGCTGTCTCGGGTCTTAGTTGTGGGCACAGACACTTCTGGGCTGCCCCCAGGAGCCTGGCCTGGGCCTGGGTGTCTGCCACATCTGTGAAAAGTCACCATCCAGGGGCATCCCCGGAGAGGGGGCTTCCTGGCCGCCTGAGTCACCGTCAGGACAGCAGAGGATCATTTTCGCTGGGCCCACGCACAGAGCAGGCTAATTGAGTCAGGCTGTCTAATGTCGGCAGGAAAAGCGGGTGCTGGAGGCATCTCCCGTCTTCAGGACCGCTCAAGCCTGAGGGGCCTTCTCTCCTTGAGACCTTGGAGCCTTCTCAGGCAGGACACAGACAACCAACCATACCAGGCCTGAGGATACCAAAAAGTCTCCACATGGGTACAAGGTTTCAGAAGGAGCCAGTAGCCAGCGATGTTTAATCCCAGCACTCGGGAGGCAGAGGCAGGCAGATCTCTGGCCAACCTGATCCACAGAGTGAGTTCTAGGACAGCCAGAACTACACCGAGAAACCCAGTTTAAAAAAAAAAAAATGCCAGTTGCGGGGGCACATATAGTCCCAGCACTCAGACAAATGGCTCTCTGCGTGTTTGGAGCCAAACTGGTCTACATAACGGGTTCCAGGCCAGCCAGGATACAGAATGAGACCCTGGCTGGCTCAAAAGGTCAGCGAAAGCAGGGTGTGGGCGTGTGCGGGATGCCTGGAGAGGTGGCTCAGCAGTCCTCCAGAGGACCTGGGCGCGATTCCCAGCACCCACATGGCTGCTCACACATGGTAACTCCAGTTCCAGAGAATCAGACATTCTCTTAGACATGCATACAAGCAAAACACCCATACTTATAAATAAATAAATGTTTTAAAGGAGATTTAATAAAGCATCAAAAAGGCAGTTGATCAAGGTGTTATTTTTAAAATTTGTTTATGGCCAGGCATGGTGGTGGACGTCTTTAATCCCAGCACTCTCCAGAGGCAGAGGCCAGCCTGGTCTACACAGAGTTCCAGAAAGACCAGGGCTACAAAGAGAGAACCCCTGTGTATGTGTGATGTATTAATGTATAAGGACACTTTGTCGGAATGAATTGAACTCAGGTCCTCTGGAAGAGCAGCTAACTCTTAACTGCTGAGTCATCTCTGTAGCCCCAACCACGATGTTTTTAAACTGGGTTTGGTAGCTGTAAAAGTGTTTTAAACAGAAGCTGTGAAAGCTCTATGGAAGTAGAATCCATGGTGCTCCAGGCCTTTAATCCAGCATGCAGGAGGCAGAGGCAGGCAGATCTCTGTAACTTTGAAGCCAGCCTGGTCTCCATACCGAGTTCTAGGCCAGTCAGGGCTACACAGTGAGAACTCTTAAAACAACAACAAAGGTTGGTTGCCACCCCTTGATTCCCAGTACCACGTGGTGAGAAAAGAGAACTGGCTTCCAAAATTTGCCCTCTGACCTCCACTTGTGTGCCTTGACATGCTGTATGCACCCCCAATAAATAAATATTCAGGAAAAAATAATTCACACACTTCTAAATTGATAATCAATGCACTCACATGTATTAGTACATATACACAGATGTGGGTAGCCCAGCACCACACCACACTTTGTATTATTTGACTTTATTAGTTTATTCGGTGGCTAGTGAGACCCTCAGCTTAAGAACAAGTAGCTCTTAATAACTCTCAGCTCACAATATCCTGTAGCTCCAGCTCCAGGGGCCCCCCATGGTCCTGTTCTCATGTGTGCACACCTCCCCATGTACATATAATTAAAAGAATGTTTGCTGAGTGTGGTGGCACACACCTTTAGTGCCAGCACTCAGGAGGCAGAGGCAGGCAGATCTCTGAGTAAGAGACCAGCCTGATCTACAGACCCAGTTCCAGGGCAGCCAGGGCTACACAGAAAAACCTTATCTTGAAAAAGCAAAAACAAAATTTAAATAACAAACAAAAATAATGTTTTTGTGGGTTTTCTTGTTCGTTTTGAAACAAAGTCTCACTTGATAGCTCAGACTGGCCAGAGTGCTAAGATTACAGGCCTGTATCACATCATTACTGAGTTATTTTATATGACTTGACACTTTTTTGGGGGGGGCAAGGGACAGAGTTTCTCTATGTAGCCCTGGGATGTTCTGGAATTAGCTCTGTAGACCAGGCTGGCCTCGAACTCACAGAGATCCGCCTGCCTGTGCTTCCTGATTAAAGGCATTCGCCACCACCACCTGGTTGATTTGACACCTTTAATTTTTATTTTTATGTGTTTGGGTGTCTTACCTGAGTGTATGTCTGTGCACCATGTGTGTGCAGTGCTCTTGGAGTCCAGGAGAGGGCATCAGATCTCAGAACTGAAGTTACAGATGGCTGTGAGCCACCATGTGGATGAGGGGAATTGAATCTCGCACCTCTGGAGAGCAGCCAGTGCTTTTAACCTCTGAGCCAACATGCCAGTTCTGTGAATTCACACTTTTTTGAGTCTGGCTGTGTTGCCCACACTAGTATCGAACACTAGATATCATGGGACCCTCCTGCCTCTGCCTTTCAAATAGCTGGGACCAGATTGGGTTTTCACCCCCTGGCCCGCAATCCATTTTAGAACTTTTTACCATCCCCAAAGAAACCCTGAGTTCATTAGTGGTCACTTCTGTTTTCTCTCTAGACAGCAGGCCCTGCAACCCTGGGCTCTCAGTGTCTGTGTATGAATGGGTCTCAGGATTGGGGCTTCCTCACTTTGTAGGTTCAGCCCAATTGGAGCCTGCCTCAGAACATCTCTTCGATCATTGTGCAATACTGACGTGTGGAGACACTACACTATGGGTGATGATAAGATGTACTGGGCGACTGAATCTGGGGCTCACACACACCAAACCAATGATCACCATTGAGCCAGCTCCTAGTCACCCAAACCCATCTGTATTTTAAGCTTGAAATTTTTAGCCAAGTGTGGTGGAGCACACCTTTAATCCCAGCACTCTGGGAGGCACAGACAGGTGGATTTCTGAGTTTGAGGCCAGCTTGGTCTACAGAGTGAGTTCCAGGACAGCCAGGATTACACAGAGAAACCCTGTCTCAGGGAAAAAAAAAAAGAAGGAAAAAATTTCGAGACAGGGTCTATCTGACCAAGTTTCCCAGGCTGACCTGAAACTCACTTTTTAATCCAAATTGGCTTTGAACTTTGAATCCTACTGCCTCAGCCTCCCTAGCAGCTGAGATTCTGGGCATGCACTAACAAGTCGCTATGTGGAAAGTGCAATGGAGCACTTCTTAGGAAATAGGCATTAACATGAAAGGGCAGCGTAGCTACAGTAAGTCCCTGGATTCCATCCCCACCCCCACGGAAGGAAGGGAGGGAGGGAGAGAAATCCCAAGGAAGCCAATACTGAAGTTTCCAGTGAGGACAGGATGTGATGCAGCACCAAGGAGCCACATGAGGACAGAAGGGACCCTAGGCTTGCCTGTCAGCCACTAGCCATGGGACCACCGATCGTTTGGGATTCTGCTAAACAGCTGGACACTTGGGAGGCTGAGGCAGCAGGGTCAGTAGTTAGAGGTAAGCCTGGCCTCCGCAGTAAAATACTTTCTCAAGAACACAAACGCACGCGCACACACCAAAATAGTAATGAAAATGAAAATTAAAAAGTGAAGCAGCCTTAGCACTACAGAAAGTGTAAATTTAGTGTCTATTAAATACACCTGTCTAAAAAATAAAACCGGGCCAATGAGATGGCTCAGAGGGAAAGGTCATGTGCCTGATGACCTGCTTTGATCCCCAAGACCTACCAGATGGAAAGAGACTCCTGAGTTGTCCTGTGACCTCCAGAGCCCCACATGTTCTCTCTCAACAGCTGCCCCCACAGCCGGGGCCCTCCTTGGTTGTTCAATGAGCCTTTCCCACACTTCTTGTGCCTCCGGAGTTCTCAGAGCAGCGAACTTCACAGAACTGCCTGCTGCTTGCCTGCCCCTCCCAGCGATGCAGGCAGGCTTCCCATTTCTTCTGTTCCCTGATAATTATGGACTATGAGCTCAACAGATGCTCCTGGTGACACGAAATAGGTGAAGACGGAAGGGTGGAGCTCCAACTCGGTGGTGGTAGTGCTTGTGTAACACGCATGAGACCCAGGATCAGTCCCTGGTCATGACAAAAACCACACCAAATCAAACCAAAATCCGTGACTAGGAGTAGATGATGTATGGATACGGCAGACAGACAGGAGAGAAGGGCAGCTGAGGATACAGAGTTCAGGGGCAGCCTGGGCTACAGACAGACGCTTGGGAAGGGAGCAGAGAAGGATGAAGATGAAAAGGAGGAAAAAGAAAGGTAGGAAAGGAGAAAGAGAGGAGATTTGAGATAATCCAGTCAATAGAGTGCTCACAGAAGCACCATGTAGAAAAGCAGCAGGCCGATGAGAACTCAGCAGGAAGAAGCAGTTACCACCAGGCCTGGCGGTCTGAGTCCCATACCGGGCTCACATAAAGGAAGGAGAGAAGCAAGTTGTCCTCGGAACACACACACACACACACACACACACACACACACACACACACACACTATATATATAGATATATATCTATAGATATATATCTAGATATATATCTATAGATATATATCTATAGATATATATCTATATATATATGCTGGTTACAAACCCACAGAGGATACCTGTCTCCAGAATGCTGCGATAAAGGAAACTGCAGAAGTAAACGATTTTAACAGCTGGGTTAGTGGCACATGTGTGTAATCCCCGCGTCGGGGAAATGGAGGCAAAAGTACTTCTGGGACTCCCTGGAAAGCTAGCCAAACCGAATAGCAGCCCCAGGTTTCACTGTGCTCAAAGCAAGTAGGTGGTGGGAGGTGTGGTGGTGCAGGCCTTCAGCGCCAGCACTAGAGGCATACAGACCCCTGGTGGAAGGAACAGCTTGTGCCAAGACCCCGTGCAGCTTAAGGCCTGGTGGGACAGAGGGAGCGGTGGGTAATGGAGGAAGTGCAAGCCTTTAGCCTTAATTCTAAGGATCAGCCCTCAGTGGTCCAAGCGCCCCCTGGTGGCCATAAAGGAGCAGCCGGAGAGGGCGAGAAGACCAGGCAGGTAGCAAATGGGCTTGTCCAAGAGGAATGCTGTGGGGTCCTCGGTGGGAGCTCCGGGAAGCAGGATTCTAGATGCATACACAGGAAACCAGAACCTGAACTTGAGAATTCGTTGCACGTTATTAAATGTTTGGGCCTCTGCAGCTAGGAGGATGGTGCTGCCGTTTCTGCAGACAGCGCAGGTGGCAGAACTTGGCTCGAGATTCCACGCCAGCCTCCTTCTAAGAGCCCTGCGTGTCGCCGCCTGGGCCCCACCGGGGTGCAAAAAAGGCAGCCCCTTTCTTCCCGGATGACTAAGTGTGCGACCCGTGGGCGACGCCCAGAGCTGCCGACTCAGGGACTCTGGGATGCTAGAGCCCAGGGCGGCCACATCTGGGTCCCCAAGGAGACCCCGAGGAGGCGGGGAATCTCGCAGGGCTCAATCGGGCAGAGCGGGGAGTCCTCCGGACAGTGGCCCAGGCGCGGGCTTGCCAGGCTTGCCAGCTGCTCGCATTCTGTCCTGGGCTCCTGCGGGGTGGAGGGGTCTGACAACCGGAGCGTAGACTAGCCACCTGGCTAGCAGTCAGAAATCCTCTCCCGGGACATTAACCGGTTCCGGAATGCAAAGGCGCCTGCCCAGGCCCAGTAAATAAACCACAGGAAGGGAAGCCAGACGTTCCGAGAGACGCCTCGGAGTGAGCCTGACGCAGACGTCACTGCTAGGGGTGGGATTATTTCAGAAGAGCTCTTTCAGCATTTTGGCGGGGGAGGGGGGGGGGTTGTTTCCCAGATTGGGGCGGGAGGTCGAGGCAGAGTCCCCGTTTGCTGGGGGAGGAAAAGCTC